GTCAAACATAATTTGATCATTTCAATTTCTGTGTTAGTATTATTTAATATCCTTTTGTACAAAGACAATATTCCTTTTTTCAAAACATCTTTAAATTCTTCTGGTATAGGCTTCAGATGCGGTAAAATAATTAACGTTTTTAATGCATTTGTTGGTATATTATTATCAAATAAATCTTCTAACTGCTTTTGAAAATAGTTAATACTATTAGACGTTATACCTCGTATATCTAAGATGTATTTCGTCCATTTGTTTAAATTAATACCATTAAGACATAAAGGAACTTTGGCTTTAATTATTTTAATAAATAATTGTAGAACATTGTCATTGAAACCAATGGAAATGCTATGTCGTATTATATGTGGCAATATTAAAGTTTCAAATGACGAATAATGGATTAAACTTTCAACAGCACTATACAATAATTCAATATCTTTCACTGACATAACTTTAAATAATATCTGGCTAGATGTTTCCTGCATTAAACTAACATTAGCTGCCAAAAGAATAGCAACTGATACATTTATAACTTTTTCTAACACATCATTCTCATCTTCGAACATGTCCAAAACATGTACTAACATTTTAATCAAAGGTATAGGGTCTGCAACCATTTTTCCATTTCTGTGACTGACAATTGTATTCAACAATTGCATTAAAAGAATTAGACTTTTCTTTCTTCCAGTTTTTGGTTGAAACTGCTTGGTTTTCTCAATAGATTTATCCACAGCGTTCAAAAGTACAGACCAAAGTATCTGACATTTTTGCGGATGTATATTTTGCAGTGTACAATTAACAATTTCTTCCAATAATTGAAACATTAAACTTTGATTCAATGATTCATTGTTCAATGCATTGAAGTACGATAAAAGCACTTGCTCTGCACATGAATGAAATTGGCCTGGTACACCAGATATTACTTCAAATAGTAATTTACCACATCCTGGTATTCCATCTGGATTGCTTTTCAATATATACAACACTGTCTTTAAGAAAGAATCTTTATCCTTGATCTTACGTACCACGAACGCAAAACTTTCAGCAGCAAAACTATTTACATAAGCTGGCTGCGTGTCCGCTAACAATGGTAATAACAGATCAAATACAGTTTTTACATTCTTAACCAAGTATCTCCATAAAAATTTAAATAAATAAGCTAACGACATAAATGTGTATTCTATTTGTTCTGTATCTTTTGTTTGCAGTAAGTCGATGATCACCATTAGAAACCTAGGAAAATACTCATAGAAGTCTTTCTGTAAATCTTTGGACACAGCTACCACTAATCTGCAATGAAAAATTGATATACAAATATCTGTCAGAAACTACTTAAATCTATGCGTACTGTAACTTAATACTCACTCTAAAATTGGTTGCAGAAACAAAACATCCTTTTTCTCTAAATATTCTATCAATGTGTTTACCACGAAATGCTTTTGATTTATCAATTGTGGAAGCGTTACAACATCACGAACTTTCTTCTTAAAACTGCAATAACCTTCGGTGAGGTTAAGAAAATTCCATTTCTGAAGTGTTTGATGGAAATACGTTTCAATCTCTTCCTCGTTCTCCTCATTTCGATGTGCGACACGATGAAAAACATCGATGTCAATTTCGCTAACTCTTTCATTAAATGTTTTAAACTGCAATAATCAAAATATAACGTAGGTAAAAAACTTCAGACAAGACAATTATTCACATATACTGCATACCTGAAATGTATTTGATTCTTTATGTCGAGTTGGCTTATTTTTCATGTTGGTCAAATTTACAGAAACTCTTAAGTTCGTATTAAATTCAGTTTTTCATATTTAAAAAAACTTTTACAAAATAATTCAAATTGACACTTACAACACGTGTACAACACTTGTTCTTCGTGTGTGATCTAACATGGAAAAGCTACATTCTAGATAGGAAACTTATAGATCTAGAGAGGAACCATAAAATACTTTCTGATAACTTTCTGATACATTTATAATCTATGAAATACAGATGAATGGGATGTACACAAGTAGCTGCAGCTTATATTTTATAAATTATAGGAAACTTTATAACGTGTTATTTGTTAACTTGTGACTCTTTTCATCTTCATTCACTTTTCAAATTCATTCACTGTTTATTTGCAAAAAATTGTTTTTATTTATAATAAAAATTGTGTATATACAACGTAAGACATAAATTACAAAATAATATATGCAAATAAAGTGTAAACTAATATATCTCTTGTTTAATTATTTGTTCCAAAATAGATGACCAGTACGGAGGAAAAGAAAATAGAATTTAAAAAGAAATCGAGAAAACCAATAAGGAAACGGCAAGCTTCATCTGATGAGGATGACAACGAAGATGAAGAGTCTGTCAGGTAAATGACAAATTTAAATACAAATACAAAGTATAATGATTATGCAGTTTAATAATGAAATAGTTATCATTCAGAAAACATTGATTATATATAAAGATATTTACTTAGGGAAAAAGTTGAAGAGATGAAAGTTATACAAAAACTTCGCGAACGGCCAAAAGGTATAAATGTTGTTGGATTAGCTCTTGGAGAAAATATAACACCTGATGTAATGACGGTGAGCAATACTAGTACAATTAATAAGTAAGGTATAGTTATCAATTTTCCTTTTAAAAGATTTTCTTTTCAGTCAGATCCTTTTAATGTAAAAACCGGAGGAATGGTAAACATGACTGCGTTAAAGAACACCAAATTAAAGCAAAATGATGCGTATGAAACTGGTATTGGCACACAATTTAATGCAGAAACTAATAAGCGAGATGAAGATGAAGAAATGTAATTAAACTTATGATGAAGTAATTCATTAAATACTTAATTAATGATTTCTTATTTCTCTAGGGTGAAATACATCGAAGAGGAATTGTCAAAAAGAAAAAGTAAAACTGAGGGCACAATTGAGAATGGGCAAAATAATGACAAAGGATCTTATTGTTCGCCAGAAGAAGCGGCTTTGCAGGCAGTGCCTGAGCATTTGAGACAGAGCTCTGCACACAGAAGTGAAGAGATGCTTTCAAATCAAATGTTATCTGGTATTCCAGAAGTGGATCTTGGAATAGAGTACGCTGCTTTATAATATTATATTTGATTCTTTTTTAAACAAAAGTTACATATAAAAAGATATTTCTTTTTAGAGCAAAGATTCGTAATATTGAAGCTACAGAAGAAGCTAAGTTAAAATTGCTTTGGGACAGGCACAGAAAAAAGGACGGTCCCTCGCAATTTGTACCAACAAACATGGCTGTGAATTTTGTACAACACAATAGATGTACATTATTTATATCTTGTAATATATCAAAATCAAATCTTATAACATAAATAAATAAATAATATTTCATTTTTTTTCCAGTTAATATAGAAGATACAGATTTCCAGAAATCAAAACAAGACTCTGATGACAGAAAGAAAGTAATAGCACCAAGAAATGATTACAAAGGAAAAAGAAAAGACAATGAAGAAAAAGCAACTGATGACTATCATTATGAAAGATTCAAAAAACAGTTCAGACGATTTTGAAGCTACTTATAAAAATAAAAAGTTATAATAAAATTTGTTATTTATATTGAATATTATATATATATGTATAATGTATAAAATAAATTTTAGTTTATATTGTAAAAATTATTAATAAAAATACCTTGAAGTATCAATCAAACTTTAAAATATAAAAACTTAATAACACAAGTCTGCCTATGAGGTGTATTGTAAACTCGGCATAAACTCCGATACCATCTCAGAATGACGACATCGTAGCGACGTCAATTGACTGTGAGAGGATTACACGAAAATTCGATCCCTTTAAACTTGTCGTAACTATTGTTTTTCTGCAAACCCGCGACTATGAGTTGTGGATTTGTTACTTGCGGGCCAAACGAGGCCCTCGTAGTGTCAGGTAATTGTATTGACTGATCTCTATTGCAAATTGCTTCGTTTCCGAATGTCAGACATGGGAGGAGTATCTTGTTAATTAATTAAGTTAGAAAATTTAGTTCATAATAAAGCAGAAAAATTAAATGGCATATCATTAATTTTTTTTTTTATTAATTTTGCATGTTCAATTCTAAGTGACATTACTTTATGATTTATATTGTACATCTATCTTTTAAACGTATTTTTAAACAATACCAATATGAAATCATATAATACATTGATATTTCTCTTAATTGATTTACGCTCCATTTTTAAGGATGTTGCTACAGCAAACCTCTATTAGTACCTGGTGGTCGGGTATTTGTTTGGCCTATTGTCCAACAAGTACAAAAGTAAGTAAGTTGTTATAATTGTAAAAATTAAAAGTAAAATTATGTGTAATTGTATTTTTGTTTTTTATATTGTATTTAAAAAAGTGATATCGAGTGATAGTTCCGTTATAAATTTTTCCGAATCATTTTTCAGAATTTCATTGAACACTATGACTTTACAAGTAGAAAGTCCAACAGTATATACATGTCAAGGTGTACCAATATCTGTAACAGGAATTGCACAGGTAACAAAATATATTAATTTAAAATATAATTAAGGTATTTGTATATAAATAAATAATTTATTTATTGTATATCTACGTATATCAAAGGTCAAAATACAAGGCCAAAATGAGGAAATGTTATCCACAGCATGTGAACAGTTTCTTGGTAAAACTGAAGAAGAAATTCATAATATTGCACTTGTAACTCTAGAAGGACATCAACGCGCAATAATGGGAAGCATGACTGTGGAGGTATAATAAATAATATTTCATTAAATTGCTGCTTATTATTAAATGAATGTTAATTTAATTTAATTCACTTCTATATAGGAAATATATAAAGACCGTAAAAAATTTAGCAAAGAAGTCTTTGAAGTAGCAAGCAGTGATCTAGTCAATATGGGCATTACTGTTGTGTCCTATACTTTAAAAGATATTCGAGACGAAGAAGTAAGTTAATTCTTTTTTTTCCCTATTAAATAACATTTGATCGTTATTGCCGAACTCAGGAAGAATTTTTATGCAAAAAGTACAAAATTAAAAATTCTAAGATATAGCTACATAGTATAAAGTTTTTTCGATATAAAAAGTCCCCCTTTAAGTGGTTGTATGATATTTATAAGTAATTTTTTTTACTAATATGAGTTAATATTGTCCAATTCTTGTACATTGTAAATTGAATACATTTTTGTTTTGCTACTTGCAGGGGGCAAAGGTACGTTCAAATTTTGTTTTATCACTACATATAATGCTACTGCACTGCTGTTCAAACAATATTAGTACAGATCGTTAATATTTGAATAAAAAGGAACTAGAGCATATCTTAAGTGTTTGCTTCAATGGTAGCACAAATATTCTATACACATTTGCAAATTTCTGTTTTAAATATGTGTGATATTCTTATATTGTATGCTGCCTTTATGTAATTCAGGTTGAATTCAAAATTATTACTAAAATGAATATTATTAAATAAAATTCATAATGAAAATACAATATTATTGATTATGTTATATTAAATGTTCATCTATCATTTATAGGGATATCTGAAAGCTCTTGGTATGGCACGAACAGCCGAAGTGAAACGTGATGCAAGAATCGGTGAGGCAGAAGCTCGTAGAGATGCTCAAATTCGCGAAGCCATCGCCGAAGAACAGAGAATGGCTGCCCGTTTTCTTAATGATACCGAAATTGCTAAAGCACAACGCGATTTCGAATTGAAGAAAGCCGCATATGACGTTGAAGTGCAAACGAAAGTAAGTCTCTTTATCTTTATTATTGTTCAAATTTAGTATATTGATTTATGTCTTATTTCTAGAAAGCAGAAGCGGAGATGGCATTTGAATTACAAGCTGCGAAAACTAAGCAAAGAATTATGGAAGAACAGATGCAAATAAAAGTTGTTGAACGTGGACAAGAAATTGCGGTTCAAGAACAAGAAATGATGAGACGTGAACGTGAATTGGACGCAACTGTACGACGTCCAGCTGATGCAGAAAAATATAGGTAAATTGAACGATGTTAAAAAATTGACAAGCATTATCTATCTATAAAATTGACAAATATTATCTATCTACAGATTAGAAAAAATGGCTGAAGCTAATAAATTGCGCTTAGTAATGGAAGCTGAAGCCGAAGCAGAAGCCATCAAAATTCGTGGGGAAGCAGAAGCCTTTGCCATTGAAGCAAAAGCTAAAGCAGAAGCAGAACAAATGACAAAGAAAGCTGCTGCATGGAACGAATACAAGAGTGCTGCTATGATAGATATGATGTTAGATACTCTCCCAAAGGTAATTAAATAAAAATTTGTATCCTAATTTTAAAAATTTTTTCAACTGAATAATATAAACATCTTAAATTTTACAGGTTGCAGCTGAAGTTGCAGCACCCTTATCACAAGCCAAAAAGATAACAATGGTTTCTAGTGGAAATGGAACTATTGGTGCAGAGAAACTAACTGAAGAAGTATTTAATATAGTGACGCGGGTACCAGAATTGGTTAAAAATTTGACGGGCGTAGATATTGCAAAGGTATGTCTAATTATAGAAAATAATATTTGAAATTATTAAATTATTTTTGATTGATCGAAGAAATCATAATTATAATTTTTTTCAGTCTGTTCATGCGGCTTAATCAAATGGTACAAGAGTTTTAAATATTTCCTGACCACATTCATATTCATACTGAGTATAAAGTCTTTGATATACACATTTATTTTAATATGCTGTTGCATATTAGAGTATAATTCATAAGTTTTAACTTTAATGATATTTCGTTAGATAAAACGTTCAGTACTTTCACTGCCAATTAATTGGATAACAAATTATTTCCAATTAGTGCCAATTTTGAAAATATTTTAAAATATTTTAAAAAGGAATATATTCAAATTGGTATACATTTTCGAAAATAGATTATATATACAAAAATGTTCGCACAATATTCGTATTTCATCACTTGAAAGGTGTGCAATAGATAGCAGTAAATGCCTAAGTTATACAGGCAGTGAATGTGTGTTTTATTTAATAGGTACTGAATACTCGTTATAGTACAATTTTTATTTGTATTAGATGAAATAAGTTGAAGTTATATATTTTTAATTAGTTTCTTATGCACTTAGAAGAAAAGAGAAATAAATGCAAATATATCTTTTTGAATTTCATATTGACCAAAGATGGTCCAGTTTTGTCCATACATATATAACTTTGCCACTACGTGCCGGAATATTCCTTTAAATATGCTATATGTACCTTTCAATAATATTAATATAATTAATGGATATGAGAATTTTAGAACTGGAAGTGCTAATATTTAACACTTGTTCGATGTGGTTTGATGTTAAGTAACTATGTCTAGTCCCTAAACTTTATTTAATTATATTTCCTATCTTCCTTCAAAAATGCAGTAATATATTTTGCATCATTTTTTGCTAGAATTTACTGTGATCTGAAACTCTTTGTACGAATAAAAAATGATATAGTCATAGTTCTTGAGACGTGTTTGAGAGCTTTGATGACAAAATTTGTATGACCAATTGAACGCCTTAAATTAATGAAAAAAAGATTCAATTTTATGTAAAGCGATTAAACGTTAAAATCAAATTTCTTGTATATTGATTTACCCACCCCGACGTCATAAATCAAAAACAAAAATAAAAAACAATAGAAGTTACAAACTAATCCGTTATAAAAAAAACTCGTGTCGTGAATTAACATTTATTAATTTGTAGTTTCCATATGTTGAAAAAATGTTTTATGTAGAAATAAAGTTACAAAGACAATTGATCCATGAAATTGTGTTAATATTATGATTACTAATTTGAATTTACTAATGTGATATTATCATTGTAAAACCAAGTCTATTTCTGATATATACATATTACAAAAAATTTATAGTATGGATACATATAAGTCATTTTTAATAGATTTTTTAGCTGGTGGGATATCTGCAGCTGTATCAAAAACTGCAGTTGCACCATTAGAAAGAGTAAAGTTATTACTCCAAGTTCAACATACTTCAAAACAAATAAGACCAGAAGATCGGTATAAGGGTATGTATAATTTCAGTACAAATTAAAATATTTCCATATTGTAGCATGATTTCCGTTTTATTAGGCATGATCGATGCATTTATACGTATACCGAAAGAAACTGGTTTTCTTAGTTTTTGGAGAGGGAATTTAGCTAATGTAATTCGATATTTCCCAACTCAAGCTTTAAATTTCGCATTTAAAGACAAATTCAAAACTATATTCTTGGAAGGTGTTCCAAAAGATGCGTTTTTGAAACAGTTTGCCGGAAACTTGGCTTCTGGTGGAGCTGCTGGAGCAACATCTCTTTTATTTGTGTATCCACTTGATTTTGCTCGTACAAGGTAATATATTAGCTTTCCATAGTCTTAGATAATATAATAATAATGTACTTTGCAGATTAGCTGCAGATATTGGAAAAGGAGATAAAAGAGAATTTAAAGGTCTAGCTGACTGTATAGTAAAAATTTTTAAGACAGATGGCTTTATTGGTTTGTATCGAGGTTTTAATGTGAGCGTTCAAGGAATTATTATTTATAGAGCTGCATATTTCGGTTTTTACGACACCACAAAAAACATGCTTCCTGATCCAAAAAGCACTCCTCTGCACGTTACCTTTTTAATTGCTCAAGTATGTTATTATTTAGTATTTTATTATTTTCAAACTTGTCAAACTTCTATGACTTCTACATGTATCATTCACAGATAGTAACAACAATGGCGGGTATCATATCATATCCTTTTGATACAGTTAGAAGACGTATGATGATGCAATCAGGACTTAGTAAATCAGAAATCATGTATAAAAATACATTAGATTGTTGGATCAAAACAGCTAAGGCAGAAGGTATCGGAGCCTTCTTTAAGGGTTCATTATCAAATATTCTCAGAGGTACTGGTGGAGCATTAGTTTTAACACTATATGATACAATTAAAGACTTTTTTGAAGATGCATTGCGTGATAAAGACTTATCTAAAGTGTCTAAATGATATAAAATGATGTCACATTCAAATGTTAAATGATCATAAAATAATAACAAACAAAATTGTATTGATTTCCTATAAATTGAGCTATGAAAGATAATAATCATATTTCATACACTGAAATTTATTTATTTATGCAACAGTTCATAAATACTAGACTGTAAAATAATTCATTTATTTTTAAATAAATATTTCATAAAAATATATACACTTACCTATACAAATAACATATTTCAATACTTTGATACATCACTCAAAAAATCAATTGTTTGATACATTACTCAAAAGATTTAGTTATTAACTGTGTATTTGATGCAATGTTAATATAATGTCCATGACCAGATTTGCTAACATTTACAAATAGCTCAATTATTTATTTTTTATCATTTCATAATATTTTACCATATTTATGTGTAAAATAATCTAAAAAAATTATATATAAAATTGTAAATGCCATCAAATAAATGTCACAGCCTTTGTTATTGTTATTTATTATATTTAATTCTTTCTGTAAACTACACTTCAGTTAAGCATAGTATGCCGATCATAAATATTACGTCTCTGCTCACGAACTTGACGTTTCCATTTATCTTGTTGATGACCAACACGATTTAGAACATTACCTCTTTCACCCATAGCATGAAATGTTCCAGGAGCTGTTGAAGAATCATCCTATCAAAACGAAGATGATTTAAATAATACATATCAAGTTAAATACTTGATATTTTAACTTTCAAAAGATGTTTTCAATATTTGATATCTTAGTCTTCAGATGTATTAACTTACATCTTCATTATTATGTTCATGATAGCCAATATTTGTTGAAGCTTTATGAATTCTTTTATTCAATAATGGATCCAAACAAATCAGGAATAACATATAAATTACTAACAGCGATATAACCCAAATAACAAGTATCACCACTATCTGAAAAAGCAAATTATACCATAAACTTTCTACTTTAAATAAGAGAATAAAAAGAAACTTACTTTAATAATGGTGGTGTTTCTATTTTCATATTTGCAATCACATCGTGAACAAAAAATTTCCTCTTTACCTTTCAACTGATCTCCTACTTTTGATAAGACAACATTTTCACATTTACTACGGATTAAAATTTACATGAAGTTACATAGATGTAATGCTGATACCATACACATGTTACAGATGTGAGATTACAATTATTTCTTAATTAGGTATTAAGAATTTTGATTACCATTCGGATGGTGGAACATTTATGATATATGTTTTTCGTTCTGACGACGATTGCGTTGTATTTATAACGGAGAGAAGACTAGGGCAAATGCACTTGCATCGTTTGTCATCATATTGCGCCTGCAATTGTTCGTGGGGATTATGTATTATAGCAAATGAATTTTGTTATTTTCGAAATTGATAGCCTAACCTCAGATCCTGACAGATATATTAATACAATCACAGTTGCAGCGAAAATGTACTTCAACATTCTTAAAACTTTCGTTGAATATGTATTTTTCTTTATTATTTTGATACATTTAACTCGCGAGCCGAACGTATTTTCATACAAAATAATTAATGCATCGCACAAACATAAATGTAAACCATCAAACAACACAGAGTAAGTGATGAAACTGACAAATGAGGTGGTATGCACTTTATATACAATCGATAGATCGCATCGCGTGTCGATAAAACAATATGGCGCGTTATAATCACAATATTAAATATGTAAACATGTAAACATCGTTTACATATATTTAATTGCAGTATATATAAATAACAGATTAAAAATTTGAATAAACTATATATTATTTTTAATATTATGCTAATCAGACATAATAAAAAATAAAAATTTCTCTTGAAATTAGTAATTGTTTAATTCCGTAATAATAAAACATTTCTTTTCAAATTTGATATATATATATATATAATTCCTTTTACATGATTTATTACATTTTGGCTAAAATAAATCAACATTTTTAAATATAATATACATTAGCTTACAATAATTTCTCATTCACGTACTCTGCTGTTTCATAATATCCGTAGCAATATTTTTATCTTAATGTTTATAGATAAGAATAATTTTTCATGGGACGTTCGGAACTTATACATTATACAATGATTATATCAATTCATTCACTCTGTACTGATTCATACAATTCACGCAGGATTTAGTTCTCGAAATGCACAATGTCATTTAAAATGAATCGTTAATATTCACATATTATGCTCCCTAAAATTATGTGAGATTATTAATCACGACTATACCATAATAGATCTATCTATATATATATATATATATGTGTGTATATATATATACATATAATAGATCTATATATACATATAATAGATCTATATATATATATATACATATATATACATATATATATTCATATATAAATATTTATATATATATTCATATACTTTTTTTTATACGTACGTATACGCACTAATATTACAGAATGAATAATGAAACGTACAAATGGACTGGGCAGTCTTAGACTGGCCGTTGCACATCTTACTCGTAAAATAAATCTTGCACCATTTATTATCACAATTATAAGAATATTAATAAGATTATAGTACGATGCAAGTTCATTTTCCATTACGTTCGTTTCCATTGATAGTACTAATCTCTCCTCGTATTCGTAAAGCGACTTTAAATCAAATCAAAAGTTTTTCAGAAAATACACCATATACAACATGGTACCTCGTAATTAAGATGCAGCTACGTCTTTTCTTATCATTTCGTATTATTGAATATTTTAAGACCTTTGCCAAGCAATGATTCCAATTAATATAGATAATACGACCGCTCCGATAAGAGCAAGTATGCATTTTTTCTTGCGCAATTTATTTTGATACATGCTTGCTTGTCTTACGTGTGAAGTAGCTTCATTAACAGATACTTCCGTTCTTTCAACAGAAGCCTCTATGGAGTCAATAACTTCTCCTTGATCATATACTAAAGCACCAAGATCTTTGAAAATTTGATTGATATCGCTAATATTGCTCTGTAAAGATAATCATCGTAAAACGACTTAAAAAGTTGATAATATATCATTAAAGTAAAAAGATGTATACCTCCAATTGTCTTATACTTGCTTCCTGTTCTTCCAACATTCGCAAATTTTGTTCTTCTTTCAATTGCTGTTGCTGTATTTGTTTCTGAGTTCTGCTGTCTTGTAATTCTATCAACGTTTCTTGCTTCTTTTCCCCAAATGGAGTAATACCTGCATTAGCTTTAGCTTTTCTAACCATTTCTTTCTCTTTGGAAGCTGCAAGCCTTTGTACTGCCTAGGAAATTAAATTTATATATGTAAATGAACGTGCTAAGTCACACATAAACAAAACATTTTTATAAACATACTTGAAAAGAATTTAATGCACTTGTAAATTCATCTTGTAAACGTTCTCTCTGCATTTTACGCTGTCTTTGTTCGCCAGGACTGGTAGATCCTGAATTATTAGCCAATATAGCCAAATCTCGAAGATGTACACTAGTATCTTTTGCCAACTGTTGTGTATAATGTTGTATCTGGTGCCTAAAAATTGTATAAACATGTAATCAGACAACAGAATGTACACAAAATATAATTGATCTTGTTTATAACGTCTTACAGCTGATTTCGCAGTTCTTGAGAATCTGAAGAGCTGCCCAATTGATTGACCATCTTTTGCATAGAAGACACTGTCAAACATGAATCAAGAGTGATTACTGAATATATCTTTTAAGTAATATAATCCGCATACCTACCATTTTGAGATATCTTTAAAATTGATGTGCCGATGGTCTGTGACAATCTACCAAAATCTTGTTCTCTTGTTGGTCCACCATTGTGGTACGATGAAAATCCGATATCCATGTTTATGTGCTTTTATATTATTCAAACAAAATTGGAAATATATAAAGTACAATGTATATATTACTTGCTACGCGTGACAGTAACCTCCTTCTTAGAGGTTATACTCTCATTGACTCATCATTTGCAATAAAGAATCACTTTCGTAATTTCTCGTACGTACACACTGGATTCGTTTTGCAGATGATAACGGTAACGCAATAAAAAGAAAAGAAAAGATCGCGACTGATCGTTCTACTGTCCGCGGTTTCTCGACGTGTGGATCACAGAAACTCACGGTTTCGCGAGAAATCACGGAAACGAAACGAAACGAAAAACGCAATGACAGCTGAAATGTCAAAGCAGTAAAACGTTATCGCTTTATCCTTGTTCCACGGCTGTCAACAAAATGACCAGACTAGCAGGGTGATCGGTTCGCGAGGTGACTCATACGATTCACTATCAAAATTAACGATTTTTCCGTCCAATAGACCAGGCACGCGTCGATCCTTTTTTTTTTGTTGTCGCTCGAAATAAACCAAGTTCACTACGCGAAGCTCTAGAACTTTGTAAATCGATAACGCCTAAAGCAAGTCTGAATGAATATAGCCGTCACCGTCTATCGCACGGTGTACATGTAGCCCCGCACACGAATCGTGTCGAGATAAATAAATGCCGCTCCCGATCGAAAGAAATGAGGCCATTACGCATGTGAAACCATCTTCGTCTTGCTACTTGCCGAGAAACTGGCAGATTATATTCTCAATTTGCGCAAAGAAAAAAAGAAAAAAAAATGAAGCGCGCATGCAGCTAATTGTTAAATATTACGTAATGAGTACCATGTACATTATATTTCGTTGTTCTTTTGAACTTTTTCGCAGATCAAACGAGTAATTTTTTTCTATTAATTAAAATTAATAATGCGAGAAAATAATGCTCATGAATAATGCGAAAATATATTAAGAATTTATAGTACTTATAAAGCGTGTTGATTATCATGGAATAGTAAAAGATCAATTTTTTTGTTAAATTAAAAATGTGATAAAATGTCCAACATGTTATCTACTATACTTGTTCGTAGAGGATAATAGCAAATAAAAAATAATTATACGCAAGTAAGACGTATATTTTATTTCGTACTGAATTGAAAGTTGTACTCGTACTTGTGAAAGTAACATTAAAACTATCAATATTTCTGTTTTATTAAAAATATCTTGTAGTTATACTGTTGTCAAGAGTAGTTTTTTTTTTTTTCAACTCAAGATATCGTTTTAACCGATAGATTAGACAAAATTCCGAAAGTTCCAAGAAGATGCAATATTTTAAGAAATAAAAAGAAAAGAACAATAAAGAAAGAAACAGAGTTAAGATATCATAAATTATACTATGGTTATCTATACATAAGTTAAGATATCATAAGTTAAGATATATAAGGAAAAAATATAAGTATTTGTAATATAATAGAGATACAAAGAGCTAAATATTACAAGACGCATAACATAGACATTCGTTACAATGTTTTTGTGTTCATAAACAAAATTCATACCTCGTGTATGTATGTAATAAATACTTTATTTAAATCACATTGGTCGTTATCTTTTAATGTTTAAAAAATATATGTATATATATATAAAAATATGTACAAAGAAATAAACTGATGTTTGTCACGCCAATGATACATACAGTTGATAGAAAAATAAATTCGTACATCTACTCATAACCAGGGTGAGAAGCTTAGCTTATAAGATGTGTGGTTTATTAAATTAAGAAAGAGACGATGTATTTAAAAAATTACTGCATTTGTTCTCCCAGAACAATTTAAAAATTAAACATAATAACTTGGGCATAGTCTGTGGGCATTATAAATTCATTGATGTTATGCGATAAAAATTATTTTTTTACTTACTCACTAAATACGAATCTCATACATGTTTAGATTCGCGGAGCCGTTTTATACGTGTTTGTATTTTGTTTGCTTACTCATTAAGAAGAAACAATTCCCAAGCAATGAAAATTTCATCCCGATTTTGTTGAATTAACTATCAAAAAAATTTATATGAAATAAAAACTATGGAAACGAATTAATAATAAAACTGTCATTAGACATGAAATGAAAAAGGATTTAAAGTTGTTCAGATATTTTTGGATTGTGTTTTTCGAAACTTAGGAGCATCTTCGATATTATGGTATCTTTTTAACTTTACAGTGAACGTTATGAAAATGTGTTCATGTCAATTTTCAAAACGTTTGCATTGTCATGAAAACTTGGAAAAACCTAGGTCAATAAATATTTCAAACTAACTACATTTCTGTTAATTAAACGCGAAATATTGTATATACATTTAACATACAGCTAGAAAACATTATTATCATTTGCATGCGATGATACAAATAATACGTTCCATTTCTTTTGATTATCTTTCGAATTGTCATTTACAACGAATTATTCTTGGAAATTCTTTTTATCATCAATTACAAGATTTTCATACTTTCAATAGATTGTGCATTATTTAGGATAGTGTTTTCCAAATATCACTAGATAGAAGTTTCTTGCTTATTTACAATATGAATATTTCAAATAATCGAATGAAATAACGTATAATATGTCTTTATATGAATAATGATCATGTAAAAAATTGTCATAAAACTGGCATCTTCGACTTGTAATAATGTGTCAATAATCGTCCTCATATCAATTATGATTGCAAACATATTTCACGTACGTTACTGTTATGTATTCGACTGAATAAATTGAGGTATTTCGCATAAGCGATGCAGTCGTTAACCGCGTTCTCTTTTCTCTCGATTCTTTGGTGTTTCAAATTTTCTTTGGTTTTTCTCTTGTGTCTCTGTGTATATATTCACTTAGATACCTAATATCTCACTTTTCACATTGTTACCGCAGTAATTGCTTAAAAGTCGATTTAGAGTTTTAATCACAGACTAGTTTCCTCGATAGAATCTGCTCTTTGAAGTTGTAGATTATCATCGATGCCAACAAAGTACGTTGTAACAAATCCTTTTGGTTTGACATACGTTTTTCCTCGAAGATGACATTTGATACCTTGTTGCTCGAGGACAGCTGCAGTTTCTGCCGTAACCTGTGTAAACGATTGTCACTCAAAATGAAGTAGAAAGATATATTTTAAGCCAGAATTTAGTTTCAATTGAACCTGTATTTTCCCTGGAACACCTGTCGTGTCCATTCTTGATGCCATATTCACAGCATCACCCCAAATATCATACAATGGCTTCTGAGCGCCTACTACACCTGCTGTTACTTCGCCGTGTGATATTCCAATTCTTAGTCTGGCAATATTTTACAATATTTTCTTTTTTATAAAACAATTCGAATAAATAAAGTATAAATTTCCATGATATAAATATACGCACCTATAAGGTTTCGTGTAAAAAGACTTTCTCTTCAATTTATCTAGAACTGCCATCATCTCAACCGCAAATTGGGCCATAACTTTGATCACGTTGTCATTGAAATTTCCCTCACTTTCTGCGCTGTGCATCGAATCTCGTCGACCGGCTTCTAATCCACAAGCTGCCATATAGGTAGTACCTAAGATAATCGTAACATAACTTTCATTATGTCTAGGGCATCTGAAATAGCGATTGAAAAAATTCTTATTTTTGTTTACCAGCAATTTTGATTTTTTCAATTCGATAGACATAGTATGGCTCAAATAATAATTTATCGAATTCACATATAATTTCATTTAGATCTGCTAGAGTATTACTTCCATCAATAGATACATCCGTTAATGAAGCAAACATGACGGCCACATTATTATGAGCTTCGTGATAAGGCTCGTTTTCTTCTGTTCTGTTCATATTCAAGTAGAACTCCGCTATATAAAATTGATACATGATGTAGTTATTGTATTGTAGTTATTGTATTGTAATTGAATGAATTTTAATATTATTTGAATATCAACATACCAACGTGTTCTGGTAAAATATTACGAAGTAGAAGTTTATTAGCGTTTCTCGTATGGAATGCTTCATCTTGTTCTTTAGTTAATTGACGCTTCCATAAATAGTCTAATCTGCTCAAGTATTCTGCCTGAATAAATTTACATTTGAATTAATACATATACATGACGTATTATTTAAAAAAACAATTGTTAATTGGAGTACACTCACCTGACGATCTATCAAGTGCAAAGAAAAACTAAGGAAGATTATGCTTAAAACGTGTGCCAATCTTGGTTCCAAATATGGATTCCACCTTTCGCCTGACTATGAAAGAAACTCCAAATAAATAACAACAAGATATTTATTATAGAAAGATAGAAATTAAAGAGATGCTGATCAAAATTACCTGAAATAAATTTGAACGACACACCCAAACATTCCACGAATAAAATACCACTACTGTGGTACCTATTATTAACTTTAAAATATAATGGAGTCTCAAAAACAAAAAACTTGTTAAAATTGCCAAAGAGCAAGTTTGCGTCATTTGCTAGAAATAATCATTGGACAAAATTAAAAACGTTATACAATATTTTTGGGACGTTAAACTAAGGAAAATCTACAGCATACAAGTACCTACTAAACAATCTTACCCAAGGTGTAGCCACGCAATCAAATTTCGCGGCGTCAGGATCTATTATGCTGGATGTTGTATTGTTGCTTTCAAGCTCACTCATATTTTTACATTCAAACTGAAATTATACAACGATTATAAAATGCTTTGATCGATAATTTAATATCCAATGTAGTAGTCACGTTCATTGTTAACTTACAATCATGTCAAACATGGCACACGCTGCTAACATTATCGTTATCACCAAATACAAAATTGTCCTAAGGAACGCACTCCAAACAACCTAAAATATAATATAGAAATTAATTCTCAGTACTATAGAAATATCACGTGAAAGGTTCAATATACAAGAATGTTAACCTTTATACTAGTTTGATATAGAAAACACAATAATTTATTGTGAGGATGCGGTACGTGCCCTTCTTGTTCATCATGCGGATCTTTATACCGGTTCCACGCGAAGTGCATCCAAGCTATTGGCATTAAAGCGATCAAAAATAATATCGCCGTGACATAACTAATCGCTGTGCTTAAATGCCACCTATAAATTAATCAAGTGTTAAAAACTATCCGATTTTATTTACATTGTTAATGAATATCCTTATAAAGTAAACATACTCAGAAAAAGAAAGCGCAGGTACCAAATAAATAAGCCCCATAAAAATCAGGACAAACACAGCGGAACTGATATAAAATTTGAAAAGTGGATCAGGCTCTTTCAGAAACGGTATTTCCCAATTCCACTGTTGAAATGTTAAGAATATTGGATTCATATCTTCCCATTTGCACCATTGCCTACATAATCATCCAACAAAATTTAGCTTTTACTTTATATCGATATATATCGAAATGGCTAAGCAAGTTAGGGAGATAGAGAGACACATACTCCCACTTAGTAAGAGGCATTTTCTTAATAGCATTCTCCATCTCTGCATCCGCAGCCTTGAGCATCAGATGATAATCTCGCAAACAGGAGTCCATGAAGTGTGTACGGCGTCTACAAGAGCTGGTGAATACGTCAACGTGATTATTTATAGTGGCAGTAAGACGTCTACTGTTTCTTGATCCAGAATTCACGCTACTGGATCGTAAGTAGAATTTCACGTAATGTTTGTTGCATGGCGGTGGGGTACTCGGAGTCATGACTGTCAAGGTGTTCTCGCTGTTCTGCAACAAAGTTTATCTGTCAACGATACGACACACTCGACGCACGGTTTCGTTCAACGGTTAAGAAGATATGTCAGTGGCGTAGGAATTTACGTTGTTAAGCGCAAACAAATTTTCCATTATTACATTAACAAATGTCATTCATTACGGACTTCCTACGCCACTGGGAAATATGCACCTGCGTAGTCGGTGAATCCGGGATCGAGGGTGTGATCAGGTAACTTCGAATTCCGTATTTCTTAAGGACCTCGTCATTCAAGGACTCCACTGGGACGCAATCATACTCGTTAGCGTTCACAAGATCCAATGTTTGCTGAGTAACGTGGACTTTGCCGGGTTTCCCCGTTTGCTCCATTTTATTAGCTATCACGACATCGCGTGACCAAACATCATACTGCCACTTGTTGTTACCCAGGATCCCCGATATTATGTTGCCAGAGTGGACCCCTATTCTCATATTTACATCCACGCCACTCTCGCGTCGTACTTTAGCTCTCACATCTTTAATGATCTTTATCATATCAAGTCCTATAAATACGATACAGATTTCTAAGTGAAAAATACAAGGAACAGATGTTCCAAATATATTTCGAAAAATATATTTACCTAAATCTACACAGCTTTTCGCATGCTGCGAGTTTGGAGTTGGCACTCCACTTACACAATAGTAACAATCACCTAGGAACTTGATACGCAGAACATTATGCCTTTCGGAAGCCTCGTCGAAACTACCGAACAAGTCGTTCAGTGTCTCTACCAATTTTCGTACAGGTAATGTCACTGTTAATCCGGAAAAATTCACAACATCAGCATACAAAATGCTCACGTTGTTGTGCGTTTCGACGCACAGATCGCTGAAAATCAATGAATAACGTTTGTTACAATTCTATGTTTTTAGGATTAAAGATATTTATTTATACTATATACGGAAATAAACGTACTTGTGTGGACTTCCTTTAGGAGGAGGTTTTTTGTGTTCCTCTATAAATTTAAAAATATCTCTAAACTCTTTTTTTATTTTCGCAGCTATATGTTGAGGCAATATACTCCGCGTAAGTTGTTCCTGAAGATTTTATTAATTTTTAAATATATATATATATATATATATATATATATATATATATAACCACGTTTAAACGAACTCATTTATAAAAAAGCATACTTCCTGATCTTTCTCGTAATTCAGGCGCAGCGTTGATTCCACACACTTGCGGTGATCTAAGAACGATCGTCTAATAACGATTTCATTCATGAATCTGAAGTATAATCCAAGACCATTTACGCAAGCAAGGTATATACTCTCTGTAATGATCTGAAAGATTTACAAATTAAATTAGACTGTTGCAATATTGTGAAATCTTTGAACAGTGCGAGAGAATAATTCAATTAGGAAAATTTCAATTTTTTAATTTACTTTAATCTCAAACGTTGCTCTGTCAAAAATATTGTCTATCTGTTAGAATGAATTTAAATAAATCTTTTAAGAGAACTTTTTAAAATAATAAGTTCATTCGGTCAGTTTATTTAATCTGAAATCAGATTATTCAATCATCCTGAGCAATTTATTATTGAAAAATGCATTTGTCATCGATAATAATACTACATCAGTAAACGGACCCATTTTTACCTTCGTACTGTAATCAAATGTGTTTCTGTAAGTGATTAACGAAAGAGTAACTAAGTAACATATAGTCGCAGTGATCCCGAGTATGAAAGCATGCAGATTCTCCGTGAGAGGTAGGAAGACGTAACACGCCAAGAGCGCGTGAGTCGCGTACGCTGGTCTGCAAAAAAATAAACGCAATTATACACATGCGTTGAAAACGATTATAACGAGGTTCATAGTTACGTGTTCATTAGCAGAAAAAGGTAAAACGGCTCGCAATTAGCTGATTGTTATATAGAATGTATAATCCTGCTAATGAGAATTATACATTAATCTAATCTTCGTTATCGACCACCTACTAC